CCTTTATCTCTTCCATTGGCCAGCTAATTATTCCGGCAGGGTATCTGATTACTGGCAAGGCATAGCTGTTTATTGCACGGATCTTGTTCTTGCCCTTGAGCTGGCTTCTCAGGACTTGCCTTATTCGTTGGAGGTATTTGGCTGTGGCTCCTTTCCTTATATATATATATTACAATGGAATCACTCATAAATGATAAGTTATTTCTACATTTCATAGTAAAGGTTCAGTCAAATGTCAGACAGATTAACACAATTTTTAGAAACATAAAGGAAGTTAAATTTCACTCAAAAACGTGTAAATCTGCTCCTGTTTTGGAACTCAGAATATTTTATTTATTGGGTGTTAATGGAAAAAGGAGGACTGTAACCCACAATACATTGTGACAGATCTGAAATGTTGAATTTAAATGGTTGATATATTTGTATTTTTACAAGTAAAAATATAAATATAGTCAGCCGGATGCCAGTCTCTCATCTGAACAAATAAAACAACTTACCAACGGCAGTCTCCATGTCTTTCAGTGTCATGCGATGTCCCACAAACACACAGGAATGGTTTGCCTCGGGCTGTAAGGAAGACAAGTGGAAGGATTTGGGACTCTGGGATGAGGAGCGATGTGGTGGGAGGGGGTGAAACGATAACGAGTGAGCAGAGTTTATCACTTGAGGCAATAATAGAAGCAAGTCAGGCTAAAGGAAGTAACTGCAGAGGGGAAAGTGCAGGTGGAAAAATATTGTGAGGCTGTCTTGTAAACTGAAAAACAAAACTCTTTCACAAAATGTATATTTTCTGCTTAAACATAATCTGGGACAGAAGCTGAAACATGAGTCTTTGTTGCTTTTTATTCCTCCCTGCAGGCTGAGCAGCTCCCAGTTGCACTGATGCAACCTTTAAACCTTCAGTCTCTTTCTAAGGTTGACTTTCCTCCCAGCAAAATGTACCCAGGACTTGACTGGAGTGTTTAACTTTACCTTCTCCAGGACACAGAGCCGCCTCATCCATTGTTTATAGTTCATTCAGTCTAAAACACTCACACACACACAGGATGATAACAATAACAACAACAACAACAACAACAACAATAATAATAATAATAATGATAATAATAATGATAATAATAATAGTTCCTAGTCAGTAAGCCTTTCAAAGAAATTCAATAATTCATAAGCCATTCAGCCCATACGTGGCTCCCTGTACATGTTAAAATATAACAATTCGTCTCTTCTTACATTTAGTGTGAGAAATATTATCTCAGAATCAACAATTAAATGAGATGAAATCAGATGAGAAGAAAAAAGAAATGAAAAACAGTTTAAAAATAAGTAAATTGCCTTCATAAAGGTTTCAGATATTAAAGTTTTCAATCATTCTGTTTTAATTCCCTGACAAGGAAGAAAAAACCTTCGTGATTTATTTTAAACTAGTGAGAATAAGTCACCTCAATGTAATTAGTAAATTCAAACAATGTTTTCAGATGAGCTTAATAAATTTACAGTAAAACTACAATGTAAAAAATGATAGTTAGAACCAAACTAACTTTTTTAACAGTAAGTGTGCGTTCACATCAGCCCGATTCAGTCCGCTTTAATGGAGCTCCAGTCTGCTTAAAGCCCGGTCCGTTTGGTGAGCTGTGAACTCGTAATCAAACTCTGTTGTGAAGCAAAGAAAAGTCCGGGTTCGGCCGGTCGGTTCCAATGCGTTTGAGAAGGCCAAGCGGACCGGACGCCGCTCAAAAGCAGAATGTGAACAACAGCGCAGGGCATTCTGGGTAAATACAACCGAACCAACAGGGCTGGTGGGAGAAAGACAAATCTAACGACTAAAATCTGACACTGCGCCATTTCTTATCAGTCTCCATGATCACTGCTGATTGTTTCAAGTTGTTACTTGAAAATCCAATCTTTGTTTTCAGGGTAAAGTATTTACTGTTAAACAATTTAAAAGCTCACTGTGACGTTGCTTTATTGTGTGTGAACTTTGATTTTTGGGCTTGTTTAAGGCAAAGACCTTTAGTTTGTATAGATCAGTTTAATAAAAAAGATGTGCAATCCCCAAAACATTATAGGCCTCTGAAATACTTCACAAAATATTTTACAAATGATTTTTATGTTGTGTGACTGATTTCAGTGTGAAATGGAAGTGAAAAAGTCCTAACCACTCTATCAACAGCCACTTATGTGCCAAAAGAACAGTTTAATGTCGTCAGAATCAAAGTGTGCACAAAATAACACCACACAGGAATACGATTACTCCAGTGGGTTTGTGCACAACACAGTTCACAGGATGGTAATAGTTGTACTTTAATGCTGAGATTCATAACAATAAGAGAAAATTTAAATTCATGGAAACGTGAAGCATTTTCTTTGAGCCACTTGTGCACAATCAGTACATTTCAAAACAGACCAAAGGGTCGGTTAAATGGATGGAACACAGGAAGTGAATCTCAGAGGTAGATGAAGAGGTATTAGGGGAGAAAAATGCTGCAAAGTTGGAATTGTTGAAGAGGAAGGATTGCGGAGGAGGAAGAGGACAAAGAAATTGGGCAAGAAATGGCAGAAAACAAAGAGGAACTGTGACATGCATGGAGAAACATGCTCCTCCTGGCTGCGAAGAAGCCAGCCAGACACCTTCCTTGACAAGTAAAAAGCCTCAGGGGTTGGCCAGGCTACTCCGACAATCAATGTCACTCACCCCCGCCACACACACACACTTACACAGGGCACACACACACTAAACAAGCTTCACAGTGCCAGTTTTGGAGTTTCCAGGAGAAAGATTTTACCTTCTGACAGTCGCTGTCAATCAAGATGCACTCAGACTCCAAAATCCCTAAATGCACTTTTATTCTTTGTCTGTTGACAGGAGAGGAGCATTCTCTTTGTAGTGCTTGGAGGCTTTTGCTCACATTCAAGCAGTGTACACTGCTGTAAAAAACCTGATAATTGTGTGGACCTTTTATGAATTTTAATGAGCATGAATGAGTTTTTCAAATCTTTGATATAAAAATTGATTTTAATTAAATCCTTTGTTGAGAAGCAGTGAAAGGTAAATGAAGACGGTTACATTCCTGACTTTGGCTGCATGAAGTCACCATCAGTCTGAACTAACTGGGTTTGTCCTCCAGCCAGTCAGGCAGAACTGGAAAAGTCTGAAATAAACAACATGAGGAAGATAGAAATATTGAGCTGCGACTCCAAAACTAATTTAGTTTTATGCTTGAAAAAGTCACTCCATCCTGAAACATGCACTATGTCTTTTGTCTCTAATGGTAGTAAAATATAAATCTAATGCTGGTAAATATTGCTTAGCAACCAAAACAGCAAATAATATCGGATGTTATCGGCACAAATTTTCACATCAGTGTTTCCTCAAAAAACAACAACATGTCCAAAGTAAAGGAGACTTGAGCTGATTATTTCTCTTTGCCACCATTATAGGAAAATAAAATTGCTGTTGAAGTACACAATATTTTAAACAAATTTAGCTATAATGTCTGTATATAATCTGTTCAAGAAAGGAAAAATAGTTTCAGAAAGTATTAATTTCTAACCGTGTTTTAGTTAAAATTCTCTTGTCTAATTTGATCTGAATTAGAAGATAAAATTTTAACCAATTTTAAAAACTTAAAGTTACTAAAACGTAGATCATATTCTAACTTATTTCAGCCGTTAAATTACAATTAAAGTTGATAAAAAAAAAATCTAATGCATTTTTCTTGAATGTAGATAAAATAATATTCTAATTCTAGAAATGTTGCTTCTTAAAGTGACAGTAACCTGCATAATGTTTCACTATCCAACTAAACTTCATCTCACGTTAAAGTCTGATTATTTTGACTTAACTAATCCATTTAATGACCAAATAAAACATGTAAAAACTGAACACCTGAAGATGTTCCACTTTGTCTCTCTTCCTTTCTTTCATACAAAACTGTCAAAAGATTCAATTTTCAAGAAAACCAGATGTTAATCCTGCCATGCAGGCATTTATCAACATACTGCATGTTTAGGCTTCAAATTTGAAAGATTATCTTTTGATTTGCAAAAACAGATGTCTGCAGATGTAAGGCATGCTGTACATGTGTGGAACAGCCTTACTGTGTGGCATACCTGCAGCAGGTGGAGTAAAGGAGGAACAGATTGATCTGAAGTAAAACAGAAACAAGGCTGGTCTAAATATAATGGGTAAAACTAAAGCAAAACACAGAAAACAAATGAGCAAAACTACAAAAAAAGAAGAAAAAAAACAAGCCAAGATCCTGACAGCAGGTATTTAGATTCAACTCCAGAGGGAAACCATTTGGCAAAATGTTTCTCTGCAAGAATCCCATAGCTGTTATTAAATGGTTTAACAATGTTCTGTCCCAAAACGAATACCTAGTCACCAGAATCTAGTCTCTGAAACATTAGGCAGTGCAACATTCAAAGTTAAGAATAGTAGTAGTTATAATAGCTTTAATGCTGATTACCCATGTAAAGCTTTTCCAGAGCTTTTCGGTATATTCTCAGATTAGTTGACAGGAAGGTTCATGGTTCATTTGCAACATGAATGAATGAACTCTGAGACCAAACTGGAATATTTGAACCACATTGGACTGTTTGTTAAAGAAACAGCAGTGGTGTGAAGGAAGAGCCTTGAGGCTCTCCTTCATCCACCGGTGCTGCAGTAGAACAAGAGTTAGCATTTCTGACACATGATTCTGAGAAATGTGCCATTAAAAGGAACAAAGTATATGAATGGAAAGTTTACTCAGCGTGCAAAAATACAAACTGATCTTGTTGGAAACTTCAGTGTGTTAATTTCTCGACTTACTGGAATATTTGAGTTTTTTTTGGTGATATTTCTCAATTTGTGTCTTTTTTCTTCTTCACAGGAAACCAAAATCAACTGCGTCCGTCTGGCTTGCAAAGGTATGAGCACCCTTCCATTGATACGCAGCAACATTAAAGTATTATTCTTATTATTCCAGTGACCATGTTGTAGTTTTGTTACCATGTCAACCTGTAGGGGTCAGTTAGAAGAGACAAACACTCACACTGCAGAAAAAGGCCAACTCTTCACTACCATGTGATCCTGCATGCTTTTCTTCCGCAGCATCTCTGTCCATCTCTTCTGCTCCAGTGTTTCTCACACTCTGCTCCTTTCCCTGTATCCGGCTCTCCTTCTGCCATCTCACGCCACATCCGTGTTGTTCACCAGTGTTTAAAGATCAGAGTCGCAGTAGACTGTTCGATCAGCTTCATTAGACCCAGTGGACGGATGCTAAAGCGTTTCTGATTCCACCCCATTCTGCCTGGCTCTCTCTCCGTGTCTCAAATCTTTATTTGCGGCTCATCTTTTGCAGATACACCCATTTGTGTGCTGGGCAGTGTGCTTTGGAAGCTTTTCAGCTTGCTATCGATTTTTCTCACCTTCTGCTTTTTTTTCTATCCCATTTTTCATCTGCATCAAGCATTGATTTGATTTTTCCACATTTTCAATCTCTGTTTCTGTCTCATCCACAGTACATCAAGGCTTTATTACTCATTTGTGCACATTTCTTTCTCTTATAGCTTTTTTCTTCATCTACCATACCAAATGTTTTTTTGTTTGCTTTGGTTAGGTTATAGGTAATGTAATGGGTGTGTAGACACTGACTGTCTGCATGTATGTGTGTACCAGAGAAGACATGCTTTTTACTTTGTGGCTCTCTTCAAAACACAAATGGCAAACCTTTCTTTTTAAAATTTAAAATAGTTAATTTTCAAAAATTCAAGTCCACACCTAATTTAAAAGGACTTGAAAGTTTAAAGTGGGCAGTGATGAGTGGCAGTGCAGATGGATCCTTTAGAGAAAACTTAGAGCCGTCGTTCAGGGAAAAATGGGGTCTGTCCTTTTACTCCAATCAGAGAATTTTGCAAGATGAGAAAAAATTACAAACAGCAATTTTGGTTAGAATTGCTCTTCACGCTTTTTTAGAATATTTAACAGGAAAAATGACATTTATTTGACAATTTAATTCAGTTTTATCTATATAGTGCAAATTCCTCCGACAAATGATGTGAAGGCACTTTAAGCCAAACAGGTCAAATTTATTTCCAGTAATTTGCAGTCCAGATCGGTCCATATTCATTCAGCCTGTTCCAGTACAAATGAATGCAATACAGTCATTTTCTGTGAAACATGCAGTTCCAACCATCTCAGAGATGGCTCTCTGAGGCCAAATGTTTTGTCACATGAAACAGAATTATAGAGTCAAAAGTAGTTGCGTACCAAAAAACACAAAAGGAAACTACAATCAAGCACATAGTTTTTTTTTCTTTCTTTTTTTGTATGAAAGGGATGTTATTCAAAACTTTAAAAGGATTTACTGTAATAAAAGAAAAGCATCTTCTAATTTTTTGGTGCTTGAGTGAACAAATTTATGTTCAGCTTTAAGAGCAGAAAACGTTTGTTATACTTATCAAAGTTTAACAAATTAAATGAAAACTGATTTTGGTGCAGCAAAGAGAGAGTTTCAGAAAAAAGCTCACTTTGCCGTAAAACGGTTTTTATTATAAAACCCGAATGCTTTTTACTTAATATTTTCCATTGTGAGAAAAAAAAAAATCAATATTATCTTTACCTGGATCACAGGTAAAAAGTCTCTGTCTGCGTCAACCACCTGGGCTGGACGGGCCAAACTTTTATCATTCTTTCATTGTAATTGGGGGCCACGCAAAATCAGTCCAAGGACCACAAATGGCCCCTGGACCTCACGTTGGACACCCCAGCCATAAAGAAATCAGCACGTTGTATGCATTCCTCACGTCAGAAAAATACTTTAGCAGCTATATGAAGAGGAACAACCACTAACCCTGTAAACCTGCAGCAATAAAAGAAAAATAGAACTTTTTTTTCTGATTTAACAGAAAAGCAACGAAGAGGTTCAAGATGGAGACATGCAGTTTGTCTGGTCTGTTCTCCTAATTTCCATCTAAACTGTTGCTGCATGATCAGACAAAATATTTTAAACAATATTTTTAAATATATTTATTATCAAAAAACAACAGTTAAAAGTACTAAATAGAGGAACCTTGGTTTTTGAGGCATTCTGGGACACAACAGTTTGGAGCTGGACAGAAATTCAGCTTTATTTGTCCTGCTGTAAAAAAGCTGGATAAATATTCAGACGTCGTCTGTAATAACTGCTCTGTGTAGACACACAACAGATGCTTGAGATTCCCAGCAGCTGCGTCTGAACTCAACGTTTTTGAAGAACGCCTCTCTGTTTCCACATTTCTGTTTCTGAGTTTCCTCCAACAGGAAGTTTGTGTTCAGGATCTTTTCAGAGAACGTCTGAGGCTTCAGCTGGTCGTTGCCCAAAGCCAGTCCTTTTACCACCACCTCTTAGCAAAATGTTTTCAACCTTGAGTAATGTGCTGATAATAAGTTTTTCTCTAAAATCCAGCCGTTTCCTCGGTCCAGTCCTTTGTTAGTCCAAAATATTTATCTCTACAAAATGTAACTTCTCTATAACATGAATTTTCTTTGAGTTTTGTCGAAACATTCACCCACTAGTGTTTCAGTTGAATAGTCTGCTGCAGACGAGATGAGTCAGATATGGAAATCAGTTCATTTCACTGCAGCAGACGCACATTTTATAAGCAGGATATGCTTTTGAAATTAGTTGGCACGTAAGAAATCCAATGTTTAAAAGCTTTAAAATAGAATTTCTTTAAAAGTAGCAACGCTTCACTTGCAGGAGCATTTCAAACTTTAATGAAAATCATCACAAATCAAGGCCTCTGACTGTAAAACTTTAAATGAAACAGCAGCTGTCTGGTTATTAGGGCTGGGATTCAGTGGGCTTGGATTTGCTGTACTCACATTATCAAAACATGTTTTGTCTGTATGGTTTGAGGCTGACTTGATTTTTTTTCTTTCTGCCTCAGCAGATTTTTGAAAGTTTAAAGGATATTTAGATCAATTTTTTACTTTAAACTGAAGGATATTTTAAATCTATCATTAGAGAAACTATCTCATGCTCTAAAACTTTGGATTTGTTTGCAGTGAAATAAATAGTCAGCTCTTTACACACCAGCTCAACTGAAAACAGAACCTAATAATAACAGTCAATCTGCAGGTAATATTAACTTTAAACACAGAATGACTCGACATCACAGACTCTAAACAAACTGTAAACCTCATCCTGTCGGTTAGTTTTTGATTGATTTTCTCCAGATGCTGCTGCATCTGTAGTTTATCCTGCTACTTATTTGCAGACATTTACTTAAATGGGAACTAAAAACCTTGAAGAAATCTTCAGCATCTGTCTGCATCAGATCCTTGTTTAATGTTAGAAATCTGACCTTGCTTTAGAAGAGGACTGATCCATAATCTGAGATGAAATTAATATGCATCAATAAAAGAGGCACAGAAATGTGTGTGCTTAATATTTAGCATGTAGGGAAACTGTCTCTGAACAGCTGTCCTGTTTTCCTCTCCAGCCTGACTAAGAGATGACATGACTCAGAGTTTTACTTCCCCCTCATCAGCCCATAGACAGTCTGAATTTAAATCTTTCTTTTGCATTTGTAAAATGCATTTGAGAGAAAAACAAAGTTTTTATGGATACAGACGTTTTCTGACAGCAGGTTTGGCAAATTCACCTGAAGAAACTGAGGTGTTTTAGCTTCATAAGGAAGAAATATCTAAGAAACATGACTGTTTAATTTTTATTTGAACTGAGAATTAAGTAAAAGAATTAAGTGCTTAAAATTTACAGTCTGATTTGAACAGATTTGATTGAGGGAAACAAACATTGTGATGTACAAGGAGCTGCACCAGAGCTCAGCAGTGACTGAAGACACAAAATACTGGATCCAAAATTGAGCTTTTGATGGGACCTGCTGTTTAGGACAGTTGTTATGTAACCACTGCACTGCAAAAAACAAGCATTTGGGTTTAGTTTCTGGTGCAAATATCTTAGGACAAGTTAGCTAACTTAGAAGTACCTTTTTCACAAGACCTGTGTTTTAAGTCAATAAATTAATATTGATTAAAAAAGTACTACTTCCACTGGCAGATAATTTGACTTACAACAACATATTGTTCCCATGTTATAAGTGAAATATTCTGTCTGTGTAACTGGTACTTTTTATTAATATCCATGAGTTACTGACTAAAAACAAACTAATATATCTTGTAAGTTAGTTGTCTCTTATTTGGCGTGAACTCAGATATTAGAAACTAATGACTTGGTAAGATTTAGTGTTTTTGCAGTGGTTTCAACGTTGGGCCACTTTCCTGGTTTTACCTCCTGTACAGTAAATATTGTTCAAACAATCTCTGATTTGAATTTGATCAGATTATCTCCTCCTTGGAGGTGAAAACTGTTTACCAGCAGAAATCAGATTTTTTTTTCTCTAAGTTGCCACAAAGTTTTTTTTTTTTTTTACCATCTTTCTTTCCTCCATTTTCTCGTCCCTTTGTTTCTATTAACCCGTCAGTCCAGGCTGACTGACTGCGATGTTAACTCCTAACACCACATCTGCATTCGCTGTCAGCTCTTTACTAAATAGGCATATTCGACACATCTGTCAGGCCGCCTCCTGGTAATAGGCCAGTCAGTTTGCTCATTGACAGTTTTTCTTCTTGGCAAACAGACCAGTCATATCCCAGCTAAATGCTATTGATTTCATTGTGCTAGTGCCATCTCTCACCGCTGCAGTTTCTCTCCTTAGACAGATCAAAGCAGGGAGATCTAGTGAAACTGATAAATAAAACGATATATCTTTTTTCTTAGACTTTTTTCTTCTTTCTTTTCCTTTTTTTGTTGTTGTTTGTTTTTCTCTCTTCCCTCTCTCTCATGCTTTCCGGCGGGGACGTGCGGCCCTTGGCCTTAGTGGTAATAGGTAGGGGACAAATAACAACGCCGTACATTCTAGTCATCCCAAGCGAAGGTGATTATTTCTTTATAGGCAGAATATCTTCTTCCCTATGTTATGTCACAGCACAACCATAAACACGACACAAAACAATAATTCATTTTGGTTGTTTCCTGCCCTACACCTCCTCCACTTTATCCCTCTGTTTCCTGATTTGTCTTGGTTTTCCATTTTTTGGGGCTCCTTGGTTGTTATTCCTCCTCATCTTCATCTTACTGCATCCGTTTGCATGTCTGCTCTGCTTCGGATGTTGCTGGCTGTGGTTGAACCTCAGTTCTGTCTTGCATGTAAGCCCACATACTCCAGTGAAGCTATGCTACACAGATGACAGTCTACTGATTGCTATGGAGTCACAGAAGTGTTGGTATTTGTTCCATCTAATAAAAAATGTTTCATTTGAAAGTGAGCAAACACCAAAGATCACCTCCATAAAAGATTAAACTCTATAATTTCATATCACCTAAGTGCACAATTTAAACAACCATCCGCAGCCTATTTGCCTGTATTTTGTGTCCGAATCCAGCTAACGCCAACTGAATACTTGATGAAACAGCAGGGGATGATGGCAGCTCTCATTTGCATAAAAATGAAAACCTTTCTTTCACGGTGCCATTCAGCTCATTGTTAGTTTCCTGCTTTCGTTTTACTTTTAGACCTTTTCCTTGACTCTTTATGAATGCTAAATACCTGTTTTTCCTGCTGCATGTCAAGTCTAGACATTAAAAATCTGTGGAAAATGAAAGTGCTAGATGATTGTGTAAACGTTGGATTAAAACTGGTGTTTAGTGTTGGATACATGATGTCCTTTGAAAGAAACATTTAACTGAACGTCAGGATGTCTAAAAGCCTGCTGGACTCCACTGACATCACAGGCAACTCAACATTTTACCAACAGACATTTGAATGGTTAGTAATGTTAATTAAAATTCTGTTATTGAACTTTGTTAAATGCTGCTGCTGCATTAGCTTCATATTTAGCTTTATTGTTAAATCCTGTGGTGACCAAACATCCTTTTCTCCTGGGTTTAGTTCACTTTTCTCACTCTGGTGCTTTCATTGATTGAAGAAAATGTCAGAATTGTCATTGTTTTTTTAGAGCATCAGTTGGTGAATAAAACGATGGGCATAAAACCAGCTTAAACCTAAATGCCAAGTGTGGTAGGTAGTATATCGCATCACCGCACTTTAAGATAAATATTCTATAGAAAAACATTCAAAAAGCCTTAAAATGTGACTGGACGATAAACCAATAACAATATAGATCATGATGGACACATGAGCAATAAGATCAATACGTCTGATATAATATTCAATACTCTCCCTGAACTCTGATCCACTGCAGCACAGCATTCTGGGAGATGTAGGCACTGGAAAGGCTTCGGCTAAGCTCGGTCCCTCTTTGGTTGCCTAGCAACAACTTGCTGAGTAACTTTCACAGCAGCAGCTTCAGGTTTGGCTGCTGTGCCTCAGAACTGCTTAAAAATAGACAATAATGGCGTGGAGTGAAAACTGCCATGCCACTGGGTTCTTCTACACATTAGACAAAAATATTAATCAATCATTGATACTAACATGAAATGCTTATAGTGTGATCGGTTTCCACCATTAAAGCTGAATCTGATTTTTAAAACATGTCAGTTAGTTTTAAAACTCAGTGGTATATTTCAGCTGTGCTTAGTGCTGTAAGCTACGGCTGATCTCTGCAGCGCCAAAGTGAACCAAGCCCATTGTACTGTCTGCATAAAGTGTTATGCAAATTTCATCAACAGAGTGTGAAGTATTGCAAGGACAAGCCATGGCACATCGTTTCTGACAGCCATTTGTTTTGATATATTTTCCATATGGTTGCTTTCAACACTCTGGGAGGAGAAGCAAACTAAAAACTGACTGAAATGAAAAGATAAAAAGAAAAGCCGATAGAGTGCTTCAGCGCTCCAGCATCTGAATGAGGAATAGGATTTCTACGTCGATGGTGATTGTATGACCTTTTGACGCATCAAACCCACTTCTTATAAACACGTTGGTGTTTTGTGTCAGCTTCAATTGCTGTTACCATTAGACCCGAGGTCGGCTCTAATTGGTTCTGTACAGAGCCATGTTGTAACTGACTCCGCTGCTCTGCAATACTGATGCAACAGGTTGCTTGCCACCAGCATTTGTTTAAGGTCGACCCGCAGATGCGACTGCAGTTTAAACCTGCAATTTTGACTGATGTCTGATTTGTTTGGTTGACTCACGGTACACCTTATTCTCATCACTCTTTTTTCATAAGTAATCACAGTGTGCTTCCTGCTTCCTCCCTAGTAAGTCAGGTTGCCCTCTAAATTTGCAGCAGATTGAGTCAGACTCTGAAAAGGGGAGAAGATGTTTGTAGGTGAATATCTGGGGAGGATATGACATTTTAAGGGCACACTACCAACAAACAAAGGATGAAGTGCTTTTTAAGTAGCTGCACAGTCAGCAAGCAGCATTCAACCGAGTTTAGTGTTGACACATAAAATAGATTAAGAGAAAGGCAAACAAGAAAGACACACTCACTAAATTCTTAAGGGAAAAAGAGATGGAATGAGAAACAGCTTCAACAACAAAGGCAGACTGGAAGAAACCGACATCAAAGTTCAAAATAAGAGAAAAGAGGCCAGCACAGATCGACTCCCGCCATGAATTATTGTTTTTTCCTATTTTTATGTTCAAACAAATGTATTGCATTATTCCACCAGACAGATTGGTGAATCACCCATCTGCTCGACTTCACAAGCGTCCCGTGAATCTCAAAAACTTGATTGTGAAATCCTGTGCACCATCTGTAAATACAAAAATACAAGACTGTGAAAATAGAAGCACAATGAAAAGTGAAAAATGTCTTTAAACGTTTGGACCAGAGCAGGACATTCAATGTCCTCCTAGAAGTACTACAAATGTCCTCTCAAAGTACTGTAAGAATATGTAAAGAAACACCAACTTTGAGAATCCTCTCTTTATTCATTATTATTACATTGGTTTAGCATAAATACAGCCTCATGTTTGGGGTTTTTGCAGTAATATCCTGACTTCTGGACGGTTGCTACCAACTGCATCACAGTGTAGCCCTAATCCAAAAGTAATGCGACTTTATTTACACAGGACCGCAATGTGGAAACTGCTGATATTTTCAGGTTTTCTTAGGAGAAAATTCCACATTTTGACATCAAAGTGTTACTATTTATTTAGCCCAGACCAACAATGTCTGGGCACCATGTGGAGCAGTGATTTTAGCATGCCGTTGATGTGCTTTGACCCTTAACGTCCTTCTAAAAATATATTTACTCATTATCAGAAGACACGTTAAACTGGACAGGTTAAGCAGCACACAGTACAGCTCTGTCTGCCGTTTTTTGCTGTTCATGTGCATGAGTAGAATCAATCCTGCATGTGGGGTTTCATACCTGTCCTAATTCACACCTTGGACAGGTGTGTTCCTGAAACGTTTAGCTTTGAGATCGGGTTACAAAAGGGTTCTGTGTCCGATCACTGCAGACGTGTAAACAAGCAGCTGCATTGCAAAAAATGTTAAGATTTCACTGAAAACCAGCTCCATGTGAACAGGGCCTTAAAAAGATTCAGGTGGATAATGTTGTGTATTTTATGCTTTTACTAGACACCAGGATAGAATACTCTCCCTTTAGGATGTACAGACAGGCTAAAGCTAGCAGGCCATGTGTAGCTCTGGTGGTCAATAGTTGTTTGGTCATATAAACACAGGAAGTGCAGATTATAGATCAGACAGAGCAGTGTGGTTTATTTCAGATGAATAATCTTGTTAAACATGCTCAGCTATACTAACACTAATCCACCCACAGCTGGTCACAAAACTAAGCCCCAAACTAAACATTCAAATCAGACTCATCCAGGTCACTCAAACACAGCAAGAAGAAAAAGCTCACATCTACAACTTATAGCTTACAGTCAGGTAAAAGAAGTGACTCTGTCTTCACACAAAACTGCACAAATTCTTAAAATAAACTTTAATTTTACCCCGTAATTTCACTAAAACTTATAAGATGGTCTCATCGTTCGACAGAAACACACACACACGCACACACAGGCACACACACACACACACACAGGCACACGGGCACACACACACACACACAGGCATGCACAAAATCACACACAGCAAGAGAACTCCCATTTTAATATGCTGTCCTGTGGTGCTGCAGAGCATCGCTAGCTGGGAGAATCAATCTTCTCTCTATTTGGATCAGATTATGTTTTTAATATCTCTGTCTTTACCCCTAATTCCTCCCTAGTAATTTTATTGTGCTCACGAAGTGAGCGAAATAAAAACGGGATGAAAAAAAACAGCAAGAAAAGAGATGTATAAGTTGAAATGATATTAGACAAATGTTCACAGGCCGGAGATGTTTCACAGGATTACTCTAAACTAGGCAGCCAGTGTTATCAAATGGAGATATTAATTTATATTTTGCATTATTAGTGTCCAGGAATAAAATATCCATCAAACCGCATAGTGTCATTGTTTTTAAGAATATTTATGTGGGAGAAAAATTTGAAATATTTTACTGATAAAAACTGTAAACATAGCACATTTTCACATTATGTTGCAATAAAAAAATGTACACACTTTCAATATGGGGTAATTGTGTGAAGATTAAGGGAACAGATATAAGTGAAGCATTACGAAAACTTTTCAGATGCTCTGTTTGTGTTCAACAAGCTAAGATGAAAACGCAGAAACAAACGATCTTCTGTCCAGTTCTGTAAACCATTGCAGATTCACTTAAAACTCCATTAGTGTATTATTTGTGAACCAGTTCCCGTTTTCCTGCAGTAGGTTGGTCATTCATGTGTGCAGTATTCCCCCGGTGTGAGCAGACGGTCTCTGGGAAGGCCAAGCGGCTGTGAAGTCTGGGGTCCACAGAGACAGCCGGAGCATTAAACCTCTCACTTCCACATTTCATCTCCCCTCCAGGAGAAACAGTTTCAAGACTCTTTCAGGCATTAAGAGTCTCACC